ACTACTACTACTACTACTACTAGTACTAGTACTTGTGCTGTGTGTAGTACTTGTGCAGTACAGTACAAGGACACACAATGGTCCTGGTGATAAAAGAGTAAAAACAGAATCTTCCCGGTGACAGTTTGTTCTTTCTGATCATGATTCACTGATTTTAATTTAAAATTTTCTGCTCAAACACAGAAACACAGACCCCGCCCCCTCCTCTGATTGGTCAGCGCCAGTGAGTGACAGGAGAAATTAACCAATGACAGTGCAGAGTGAACTTTCATCAGAATTAAATCTAAATCGTGATCAGGCTCGAGAAAACCGATAAATTCTAAATAATTGTGCAAGTTTATTTTGTGATTATGTACAGATTTTGTTGCTTTTGTTTCAGACCTGCTCGTCTCCATGGATACATTATTGCTTTGCCCAGAATGTTCCAGAGTGTGGCATTAAACTACAGGTCCAGTGACAAGTTATGCAATGTTTTCTTTCAGTTCACGTGTGAGTCTTTTACGTTTTTCTACTAAACAAATGTTTTACTTCATGTATTTTTTTCTTTTTGCAGCCTTTGGAGTCTTTGGAAAGACCAAACCAGGACCAAACCAGGACTAAACCAAGACCAAACCAGGACTAAACCAGGACTAAACCAGGACCAAACCAAGACTAAACCAGGCCTAAACCAGGACTAAACCAGGACTAAACCAGGACTAAACCAGGACTAAACCAGGACTAACCAGGACTAAACCAGACTAAACCAGAAACCAGGACTAAACCAGGAAACCAGACTAAACCAGGACTAAACTAAACCAGACTAAACCAGACTAAACCAGGACTAAACCAAGACTTAAAACCAGGAACCAAACCAGACTAAACCAGGACTAAACCAGGACTAAATTAGACTAAACCAGGCCTAAACCAAGACTTAAACCAGGACTAAACCAGGACTAAACCAGGACTAAATAAGACTAAACCAGGCCTAAACCAAGACTTAAACCAGGACTAAACCAGGCCTAAACCAGGACTAAACCAAGACTAAACCAGGACTAATCCAGGACTAAATTTGACTAAACCAGGACTAAACCAAGACTTAAACCAGGCCTAAACCAGGACTAAACCAAGACTAAACCAGGACTAAACCAAGATTTAAACCAGGACAAAATAGAACTAAACCAGGACCAAACTAGGAGCTAAAACAGCTGGATTTGAGCATTGAACCTGTTAAACCCAAATGAGAAACTGTTTTAATTCTGATTTTCTCTCGTCAGTAAAAGTTTGATTTGATTTGAACATGTTTTCTTTGCACTTCGAGTCACATTTGGGTGAATTTGATCAAATTTTACTCTAAATCTGACACATTTCCTTTAAATAATCATTGATCCTTGTGTTTGTTTTGCTGCTCTACCGTTTGAATGGAGCTCTCTCTCTCTCTCTCTTCTCTCTCTCTCTCTCTCTCTCTCTCTCTCTCTCTCTCTCTCTCTCTCTCTCTCTCTCTCGTCTCTCTCTCTCTCTCTCTCTCTCTCTCCGTCTCTCTCTCTCTCTCTCTCTCTCTCTCTCTCTCTCTCTCTCTCTCTCTCTCTCTCTCTGTCTCTCTCTCTCTCTCTCTCTCTCTCTCTCTCTCTCTCTCTCTCTCTCTCTCTCTCTCTCTCTCTCTCTCTCTCTCTCTCTCTCTCTCTCTCTCTCTCTCTCTCTGTCTCTCTCTCTCTCTCTCTCTCTCTCTCTCTCTCTCTCTCTCTCTCTCTCTCTCTCTCTCTCTCTCTCTCTCTCTCTCTCTCTCTCTCTCTCTCTCTCTCTCTCTCTCTCTCTCTCTCTCTCTCTCTCTCTCTCTCTTCTGTCTCTCTCTCTCTCTCTCTCTCTCTCTCTCTCTCTCTCTCTCTCTCTCTCTCTCTCTCTCTGTCTCTCTCTCTCTCTCTCTCTCTCTCTCTCTCTCTCTCTCTCTCTCTCTCTCTCTCTCTCTCTCTCGTCTCTCTCTCTCATCTCTCTCTCTCTCTCTCTCTCTCTCTCTCTCTCTCTCTCTCTCTCTCTCTCTCTCTGTCTCTCTCTCTCTCTCTCTCTCTCTCTCTCTCTCTCTCTCTCTCTCTGTCTCTCTCTCTCTCTCTCTCTCTCTCTCTCTCTCTCTCTCTCAGATTTCCCAGCATCCTTCACTGCAGCGGGGACAGAAGTAAACAACCCGTGGCTCCTCTGACCTCTGCTCCATCTGCAGCCGCGCGGTCCCACAGCGCCACCTGCAGGAAAACACGTGCAAAAACTCTCAATCCAGTCTGTCCAGTCAAGAAGAGGAGCAAGTTTGCTTTGGTTTGTTTGAAGATTTTAAGTTTGTAAAGTTAAATTAAATCACCCGAAGCTTTTCTCCAGACTCAAATCGATTTTATCTTTTCGTGATTCGAAGCGGGTGATCCAGGTTTTTCTCTCCTCTCGTCTTGACTCTTGTAGAAAACACATCAATCACTTGGGGTGTAAGAAAAAAATGATTCAGTGATATTAATTCAGTGATAAAAATGTTTATTAAAAAAGAAGAGAGAGAAAAAAAAGGAATTTCATTTATAAATTGGCCAAATATCTCAATGTAAAGTGTCATTACTTTTGTTTTATTAAACTAAATTTGTGTCAGTGTGTGTGGTCGGGGTTGATTATTGTATTTTGTTAAATGTTATATTCTGTTGTCTTTAATAATAATTAAAAAAGGACGATATATTGCAATTTATCAATAATTTCTTCTATTAATACAGTCAACTGCACAATTGTATGAAAAATAATTAATACAAATGTTTAAATCATCAGAACAGTGAATGTAACTAATGAAAAACAGAGATAATATTGAGAATTGTGTAATGAAGTGTCACGATATCTCACTGAATCCATTTTTTCTTACACCTCAAGTGATTGATGTGTTTTCTACAAAGTGAGAGACTGATAAGAGTCAAGCTTCTACTTAATACTTCATTACACAATTCTCAATATTATCTCTGTTTTTCACAAAAATTCTTTAGTTACATTCACTGTTCTGATGATTTAAACATTTGTATTAATTATTTTTCATACGGTTGTGTTCTCGTGACGGTGCAGCTGACTGTATTCATAGAAGAAATGATTGATAAATTGCAATAGTATCGTCCATTTAACAAAATACAATAATTAACATAAAAACAAAACACCAAAACACAGAGCAGCACCCACAACAAATACAAAACAACCACACACACCGACACAAATTTAGTTAAATAAAACAAAAGTAACGACACTTTACACTCATATATTTGGCCAATTTATAATGGAAATTCCTTTTTTCCCCCATTTTTTTATAAACATTTTTAGTCCCTGTACTTATAGTAATATTATTTTCATATATCGTCCTGTGTTTTAGTATCGTAATGAATCGTGACTTGCAGATCATGATACGACTGTTCAACTACAAAAATAACAGTTTTTATTTTAATAATTGTGGTCATTATCTGCTGGACTGTGCAGAAAACACATGAAAACACATGAAAACTAAGGAAATTTGGGCTGAGTATCATTAAGAAATTACGATATGTTTTTCGATACTGTGCACTTTTGATTCAGTACGATTCAATAAGTTTAACTTATGGCTCTGACACTAAAATTCCACTAAGTCTATGAAGTTTGAGCAAAGTTAATATGAAAAACACAAATTTTACTCATCAAACAATGAAAATGTCAACACAACTGTCGCTCTTACACAAAATAATTTAGTAAAATGTACCTAAAAATACTCTTGGTGATATATCGATATAGCAGCCCATGATATCAATACTGTATCGTCAAATTAAATCAATATTAAATATATGACATATCAATATTTCAATATTTTTGCACACTCCTAAAGGCAATTATGGCATTATTTAATAAAAAATATGTAAAAAGAGTAAAGAATTTCTGAACTTCAATAATAAACATTCCATATTTTTCCATAACCACATTTCAAGCTTTATTTTTCCGTTCTGAATCCCTACAGTTTCAAAGTGTCAGTGTACAGTAGAAATAATAGTTTAAGTAGTCGACTATTAAAATAATCAGCAGCTCTAATCAAATCAAACTGAAATTGCAATCTATAAATAGTTCAAATGAGCAAATTATGAAAGTTGCAATTAAAAAATTCACATAACTGAATTTAAATGTTCTTTATTAAACCTCCTATTTCTATAGTTTAGACGTACTGTACATGTTCTGAAACACGTGAGATTCTTGTATTCATTTTGGTGATGATGCCAGCGAAAAATGAATATAATTAAAATGCAGTTTTCGTTTTAATACAAATAAAACAAATAAAAATGATCAAGCGTGTTTACCTTTTGGATATTTCACGACAAAGTAAAACGTCTGAGAGTATGACACCATCATATTCTACATTCTGAAAACCACCAATTGAATCCGTGCAACATAGATACGTTTAATGCCACACTGCGGAACATTCCTGGCAAAACAAGAACATTGAGACAAGAAAGTGATGTGCACAGATTCTCTAGAAAAGTTATAGAGTTACATTTAATTTGATAATTTTAGATAGAACTGTATGGACACTAAATACACTCATAGATGCATTTTAAATTATAAATGTGTAACTTATTTTTACCGTATTTTAAGGCAGACTTTTAATCAAACTTCAAGCTTCTGTCTCCCCCTGGTGGATGAACGACAAAACAACAACTTTAATAGACACCTGCGTTAATTTGCAACAGTAAAAACAACATAAAATTGCTTTATTTTATCTATATAATCACCACCTAAATATATGATAATGAAAATTTGAGTTTTGAAAACGAAAAATCAATTTTACGATGGAAGCTAATTACATTCACCTGAAGTTCGCCTAAATCTTGTCTTTCTCAAATAAAACAAAACTAAATGCGTTATTTTCTACTCAGTCAATCTCTAAAATTAGTATGTTTGTTTACCTGTAATTTGTAGTTTAAAAATATTATGTTTGTCGTGTTTTTGCTGTTTTGTTTAGTTTTTTCCGGCGCCCAAACGAGAGGAACACATTTACAGAGTGTGTTGTTTCCGGGGGGGAAGCATTTGACTGCGGCTCATCACAACTCCGCTCTTTGAAAACATGAACGATTCAAAATTCTGCTTTTAAAGACGGTTTTAAATTAGGTAAGAGTTCAAACTTATCATTTAAGATACGTTTAGTGATTTCATTTTAATATCAGTACATAAAGTAATAACTGGGGCAAAATTAGCGCCATTTTAGGCCAGATTCCACTTCCTACTCATGGATCTAGTTCCTACTCTGCCGAAAAGTAGATCGTCAATGTTTTTAATTTTTTTTTTATCATATAACTAAACTATACTTAACATTATTTTTATTACTTCTAGCCGTATTAGAATTATTATTATTTTAGAAAATAAAAAAATATATTTAAAAATAAAAAATAATAGATTGATCTTATGCACTCAGTAAAACTAATGCGAAAAGTATAAGGTGTGACATAACCTTTTAAATTTTTTTATTTATTTATTTATTTTCTGTGTAACATGAATCCCTCTATGAGAAAATATCGTGTAAGGAGGACATGTCTGAACACGTCTGATGAGGAGGAGTCATAATCAAAATTTATCTGAAATGACAAGGTCTGACACGGGAATCGTACTGTAGCCACATATTACAGTTGTGCCCTTGCGCAAGACACTTTGTCCACTTTGTTTACATGTGTCAGTGAGATTCTGCCACGTATTTACTTCAAGAAACCAGTCATTTCAAATTATATCCAGGAATCTCAATACTAAACCTACCCTTTGACCAGGAGACGATAATCCGACAAAAGTGGGAATGAATTTTTGAAATAATGACTCCTTTACTCTATAACTCCAAACTCCAAGGAAAATAGTTTAATTCTGAACTATTTAATACAAAACAAGTAATTCAGAATTAAAAAACATCATGTAAACATGGCCATTACGACAAACACCAGAAAATAGCGTAATCTGGTTCCTTTTAATTAATGACGCATTATTTGTTTTTCTGTTGTTGCAGGTTTTTAAAATGGAGGGTTCGTCCAATAACGTCGCATCTACCTCCTCCTCTTCCTCCTCCTCTTCCTCTTCTTCGGCCTCGCCCTCTGTCGCCGCTCAGGTCCCGTTCCTTCACCTCTGCAACACTTTGGAGCGAATCCAAAAGGCCAAAACGCGCCCGGAAAAATCCAAAATCCTGGGAGACTTCATGGAAACCTGGCGAAAGTTCCACTCGGTTTTACACAAAGAAAATCCCAAAACCACAGACTCGTTTTACCCGGCAATGCGTCTTATCGTGCCGGCGTTCGAACGGGAGCGCATGGCGTACGGCATCAAGGAAAACATGCTCGCGAAACTGTACATCGACGTCCTGGGGCTGCCGAAAAACGGGCCTGAAGCGAATAAACTTTTAAATTACCGCGCGCCGACTTCTACGCAAGGAGAGGCCGGCGATTTCGCTGGAATGGCCTTCTTTGTTTTGAAAAAGCGCTGCACTGGTGATGGCAAACTTACCATAAAAGAAGTCAACGATTTTCTAGATTCTGTGGCGATTAACAACGCAAACAAGAAGAAGGACTTGGTCAGGCAAAGTTTGCTGCATCTCATCACGCAGAGTTCGGCGTTGGAGCAAAAATGGTTGATCCGAATGATTATAAAAGACATGAAGATTAGTATCAGTAAAGAAACGGTGCTGCAGGTTTTCCACCCGGACGCGCCAGAGCTTTACAACGTCAACACGGACTTGAAGAAAGTTTGTCTGCAGCTCCACGACCCCGCAGTGTCGCTGAGTGAAGTCTCGATCGGATTATTCTCCGCGTTCAAACCGATGCTCGCCGCCGTCGCCAACCTCCGCAACATCGAAAAGCAAATGAGCAACAGCCCTTTTTACATCGAGACCAAACTCGATGGCGAGCGCATCCAGCTGCACAAAGACGGCGACGTTTACAAGTACTTCAGCCGCAACGCCTTCGAGTACACGCAGCAGTTCGGGGGCTCGCCGCTCGAGGGCTCCCTCACGCCGTACATCCACAACGTTTTCAAAAGCGACGTCGTGAACTGCATTTTGGACGGGGAGATGATGGCGTACAACCCGACCGCCGAGACGTTCATGCAAAAGGGAAGCAAGTTCGACATCAAGAAGTTAATGGAGGACTCCGAGCTGCAGACGTGCTTTTGCGTGTTCGACGTTTTGCTGGTGAACGATCGGAAACTGGGGAAGGAGACGTTGAAAAAGCGATACGAGATTCTGCAGACCGTCTTCACGCCGGTTAAAGGGCGCATTCACATCGTGCCCAAAACCGAAGTGAAAAGCACCAAAGAGGTTATAAACGCTTTGAACGACGCGATAGACGGACGCGAGGAAGGGATCATGGTCAAAGATCCGATGTCCATCTACAAACCAGATAAACGCGGCGAGGGCTGGCTCAAAATCAAACCCGAGTACGTCGACGGTTTGATGGACGAGCTCGACTTGCTTATAGTCGGCGGTTATTGGGGAAAAGGCAGACGGGGCGGAATGATGTCGCACTTTCTCTGCGCTGTAGCCGAAGCGCCGAAACCGGGAGAAACGAAACCTTCAGTTTTCCACACGCTTTGCCGAATCGGATCGGGCTACACCATGAAAGAGCTTTACGATCTGGGTTTGAAACTGGCAAAACACTGGAAAGTTTACAAGAAAAACGATCCGCCGGCGTCCATTCTGTGCGCGACGGAAAAGCCGGAGGTTTACATCGAACCGTGCAACTCCGTGATCGTCCAAGTCAAAGCGGCAGAGATCGTGAGCAGCGACATGTACAAGACGAACTGCACGCTGCGCTTTCCCCGGATCGAGAAAATCCGAGACGACAAAGAGTGGCACCAGTGCACGACGCTGGCCGAGCTGGATCAGTTCCGGAGCAAAGCGTCGGGGAAGCTGGCGTCGCGGCACCTGAGCCTGGAGGACGGAGCGCCACAGAAGAAGAAGAGGAAGGTCCCGGTGAAGCCCAAGAAGGTGGTGGGGGTCGTGGAGCACTTCAAACCGCAGGACCTGAGCGGCGTCCAGAAGGAGACGGACATGTTCGAGGACGTGGAGTTCTGCGTCATCAACGGCACAGAGGAGCATGACAAAGCGGCGCTGGAGCGGGGCGTGGCCAGGTACGAGCGACGTTCTACTGGACAATAATATTTAAAGAAGGATTATAAAGCAGAATCAGTTTTTCTTTTTTATCTTTCTCCCATGTTCTAACGTTCCCTCATCAAACCCTCTTTAGTACGAGTATGAGTCTGTACGAAGCAAAACTCCACAAAACTAGTGAAGATAAAACGATCTCAGGCTGTGGAAAAGTTGAATAATTTGCTCTGGATTCATATTTTATAAAACAAGCAGGAGTAGAAGTCAGATTTGCAACGTTTTGTGAATCCTCTCCAGAAAAACACAGAGTCTGGGCAGGTCCAAAAGAAGTGAGAGGTGGTTTAATTTTTCAGTTTGTGTCCGTTGTTCTTCTAAGATGATTCTTTAAGGGAGAACAGCGATGTAGAAGTTTGTAGCAGATTTCCCTTTGCTTGTTGGTGATGAGATATTTGTGAGGTCATGGCCGTACATTTTTCTATGGAATATTGTCAGTAGAGTCGGGCTCTCACAGTGCGCGAGTAGGGCTCCGTTTGGCAGGTGCACTTGTGCTGATAGTCGCTCTTTTTCCACAGCGATTCATTATAAGACAAGTTTAACTGAAGATGAAGCCGAGTAAGTTCTTTTTTAAAGGTTTTTCAAAGTTTGGTGCAGCGTCTTCACTCACGCTGCTCAAGCCGACAGCGGCCCTGTCCTGCCACTTCCCCAGTTCAGGCTCCTGGCTCCACTAATGACATCACTCTGTGGCAGCCAATGAAACAGCGGCAGGTGTAACCCTGTCGTCATATCACTGAACACATCTCAGAACGTCTAAGAAACAAAATGTGAACTAAAATGTGTTTAATTAATACTATTGAGTTTGGAAAAGTATCTGAATAAATGAATGTTTTTGTTTATTAAAATAAGATGGCAAATATTAAGTAGGGACTATTTTGTCTTCCTCAAATATCGTTGTGACAGATCTGTGAAGATGCAAGCCCCCGCACAGGTTTTTGTATGTTTTTTTATGCAGTAAATGTAAAATTAATTGAAAAACATGTTTCTACTTTAGTCTATATTTTAGCAAAATTTACATACTCTGGCTTTAACAAACCTGAAAACTAAAGTAATATTTCTGCACTTTTGTGTCTCAAGTTTTTGTTGTTTTGTGTTCAAGTTTTGTGTCATACTTGAAACTCAACAAAGACTTTTAATTAGTCTGATGTAAGTCTGTGAAATTTATTTTCAATTTGAAACCAAAACCAAACTTTTTGCAGCACAAACGAATCACAAACGATTGACTCCATTTTTTTGTGTTTTAGAGCATTTTGAAGCTTCCTGGAGGCTGATGACCCCAGTTTGACCTATAAAAGAATCATTCATATCTGTCAATATCGGTGCAGTGTGGGCAGTGATGCGGTCGCTGTATCGGATCGTTGTGGTGAAGAGGAGCTGAGTCTGGATTTATCGTCAGTCTCCGCTCCTCCCCTCACCTCTGGTCATGACCCGAAGGACCAGATCCACGATACAAACGACACAAATGAGTTTCCTCCGCAGGGCGTCCGGGTACTAGTCAGTCTGGCGCCACCTAGTGCCTCCGCTCGATTTCATTTCTCTCCAGCTCTAGGATCAGGAATCAGAATACACAGGACAGTTTACAAAAACCCCGGAAGTGTGAGTTCGGGCACCAGCCAATCAGAGAAGAGCCAGACATTCTGTGTTGGCATCGAGGATTTAAAGCCGAAGAGAATGTTTGGTGAATTTTATCAAGGGGAAAGACGTTATTGTTCTTCTTCCTACGGGATTTGGGAAAAGCTTAATATACCAGTTAGCCCTGTTAGTGGTGCATTACATATGTCACGACCAAACAGCAGCGATTGGTTAAATAAAAAAAGTCCCTGCCTCCTGTCGAGCGAACGAATTCTTATGCTGCGAGGTCACACAGTTTACACC